CAGAGAGTCCCATACTGCCAGGGTTTTTTTGAGCATTTTGACTGATTTTTCAAGAGCCACAGAATAGTTTGTGCTATGACTATGTAAACACCGAACACACCAAAAGAAACCGTAGACTCTCTTCTTTCATCAGGGAAAAAATAGTTTCTACCTTATTCCATTCTTCCTCGACTTGCGTCTCACCGGCGACATGTTCTCTCATAGAACCGTTACCTTTTTCTTATTTGCCTACAGTCTATGCTCATCTCCCATCCAAAGTGGCACTGCCACCTAGAGGGTCAATTTGTTAGTACATACTCTGTCTAGAAGCCTGATATTTACGGACAAGCTTTAGCAGATCGTCCCCCAAGCCACTCGCGTTGAAAAACATAAAAGACGTCTATAGACGTCTTTGGCAGCCAATGAGTTCATTTGGACTAATTCAGGACGGTTCTGCCCACCTGTCCGATGGCGAGGAGGCGCTGAACCGTGTAGCGGACCGCAGAGGGGTCAGCCCTCTGCAAACTGGCCTGAAACTTCAAATCATTCAAGAACTGGAGGCAGTGATTGGCACAATCCCGACAGCTGTCAATCAGACCTGCACCACACAAAGGAACCAGAATCACGTCTGTGGAGGGAACAGCCTCGGGGGGGTAGGAGGGGGTCTTACCATCGGCCTGGTCGGTGGGAGCCGAGTGGGAGGCCGCCGCCCCGTTGACGATGGTGTCGGCGGCCAGGTGGGAAAACTGGGTGACGGCTCTCAGCAAGCCACTGGCGTCTGGAGAGGAGGAGGAGGACTTAGACAGGATTCCCGACGGGAGGCGAACGCACAAACACACATGTTCAGAATTTGGGCGTCAAGGTGTCTGGCCGTCACTGATCACGCTCTGAGTGCATGCTCAAGAGAGCTGTGACCCCTGTGATTGGTCAAGACCCTTGAGCACGAGCTGGACACGAGCTCATCTGCATAGCCATAGCGTCACGAACCTGTTTTATAACAGGTTCGAAGGTGCGCAGGTCAGTGCAGAGTGACCCGAGGAAGCAGCCACGCTGGACCGTTTGTTAATTCTGGAGTCAACTTCGTTGTTCTTTCTTTCACGGACATTTCAGACTCCAATGTCCATATTCTATGTTAAGCCGTGCGTCTCTGAGAACTAAACCACGGTTCACACGGTTCACACAATACACAGTGTGACGTTTCCCTAAAAAGAGTGTGTCTGCGTCATCATTGGGTTTATCCATTTGTTCTGGCCGGACAACCTGTGCCGTTTGCTATACATCCACAAACTAGCCCCTAATACAGTCCTTTCAGGTGCCATAAATAGCACCATTTTTTACATGGTCCTTCGAGCCGGATTATAGCAATTTGCACAGTGTAAAATGGATAACCCTAATGGCAACACCCGTCCTCGCCGTGAGCAGCACCAGCCTCGCCAACTCGACGACTACCTGGTGGACCTGCCTCAGCGACGGTTGCCATATGACGACCA